AATAACTAAGGGATCTAATGCCTTGGCTTGCACTCCAAGTAGTCTTGTCTTGCACTCCACTCCAACTCCTATCCGCCCATCTGCCGCCTTGGTCCAACCGCCCGCGCGTTGCCCTAGTCCTCAAGGACTAGGGTCGCGCCTCCTACGCCCGCCTATCCTCTTGCCTCGAGGATTAAGGTCTCGCGCCATGCGTGCGCCATTCCTATTCCTTGAAGGATCATGCTTCGAGCCCACATCCACTTTGCCTATTCCTACTAGGAATATGCTCCCGGCTACGTTGTCTGATCTTCCGAGGATTACTCCCGTCACCGATCTTTCGCGCGTGTTCCGGCACTTAGCTGCTTTACCTAGTCCTGCAGGGTCTAGTATTCGCGCCTTGCCTATTCCTATAAGGACTAGGCTTGCTGCCCTGGTCTTGCTTCGCCCTTCGAGTGTGCCCATCTCGCGCGTGTCCTCGCCTAGCGTGCGCGCGCGTTCTCCCTTGGCTATCTCTTTGGCCAATTGTCGCGTGATCCTTGAACACTCTTGGGCTCGTGCACCTCGCATCCGCGCTCGTGCCCGTCACTTAGGCCATGCGTGCGTAGTTTTGGCCCTTTTCTCGGCCTTCTCGAACCTTCTCGTCTCTTGGACCTTCTCGTCGTCGGGGCTCGAAATCCACTTTCGCATCATTCCTGCCCCCTTTGAGAATGTCCTTGTCCTCAAGAACTCGTCCTCAACCATCCAAACTTCGGGGACTCCTTCTTTGATCGTGCGCGCACCCCACTCACGGTCCTCGTCGAACTCGACCATGACCTCGCTCTCCACGTCGAACACTACGGCTCCTTCGACCTCGACCTCAATGTGTGTCACTTCACCCCCTTCGAGCCTTGGAGCTTCGGCCACCTCGACTTTGTGCATGTCTTGCTCGACCGTAATTTCCATCACGCACTTATTTTGCTTGACCAATTTGACCTCCTTCTCCTTCTTGAACTCGCCTTGGGCCTTGCCGCTTGCTCGAGAATTCTCTTGCTTGATGTCGGCTTGCTCGTGCTCTCTCCTCGCCCGATCGTACCCATAAGGTGGTGGTCGATCTTCATGGCGCGGTGGCTGCTGGCCTTGGAAATTCCTCAAGAGTTCATCGAACCTTTGGTTCATGGCTTTCATCATGCTTTGTTGCGAGTCGTGGATTGAGCGCTCAAGGTGAGCCATGTTGTTGGTCATGCTCGTGTTTGTTGCTTCCAACCCTTCGCTTAAGCTCACCATCCTAGCTTCAAGGTCGTCGAGCTTCTCCTTGGTTTCTTTGGCCATGATGATGATAATATTTTTTTTTACTCACGCAACTAACACTCCAAAAATAAAAATAAAAAGATTTATTTTTTTTCGAACAACTCAGAAAATCAAGAATGTTTTTTTTCTAAATAAACGAAGATAAAAAAACGAAAATAAAAAAGAATAGGGAAGAAAAAGACACACAATCTAACACCTCTCAATGAAAGCACCAATGATGAAGATCGCGTGTCCCCGATGTACGTTGCCTCGAACTTGCGCGCGAACGGCTCTTTCTCGGCGATGGTGCGGACGACTTGGAGGATGATCTCCTTATCTTCTCACGATAGGTGAGACAGCTCGGATGCGAATCCTTGCCAAACTCGAGTTTATGACAAACTATGCGGTGGAACGCCCTTTTCGACACAAGGATTTTGTGATAAAACTCTAAGCATTCTAAACACAAGAAGATGAAGAAAAGTTCTGATTTCTATTGATAAATTTGATGATGAAAAATAATATGGGGAAAGAGCCTTTATATAGGCACAAAATATGTCTAATCCCAATCTACCTAGGAAAATAATAAAGCAATAAAATATTAAGTATCCTAAACAATCTAGATATCATAATGCAATAAGGAAACTA